TTTTTGTCAAAGTACATATTTTATTAATTTGTGTCATTTGTGTTCGGTTACTAAGATACGATTCTATTAAACTAAGAGTATTTCCTCTTATTCCGTAGTAATTTAATTTGTGTAGTAAGAGTCCGTGATCAACATAATCAAAAGCTTTAGACATATCCATGTACATTGCTGCAACTGGCTGCCTATTGTCTAAGCTTATCANCTTGCTCAGTCTCGTCAATATTTGTGTCAAGGAATTTAATGTCAAGTTTCGGTTTGTTATTCTCTTTAATTCTAAAATTCATCACATTAGTTTTGTCTAAATTAATTATTAAATTATTGGATTGCAGCCACTTAATACAACACTGTAGAGAATTGTTAATCTCATAAGTTAAAGTAGAAACATTATCTGAACTAAAAACAATATTTGAATCATCGGCAAAGAGGACCATAGGGTGACTGGTAGCTTTTGGAAAGTCATTGATATACACCAAGAATAACAGCGGACCAAGAACACTGCCCTGGGGAACACCATACTTGACTACACGAGTTTTTGACTGGTATATCTTTTCAGTTTTTGTCAAAGTACATATTTTATTAATTTGTGTCATTTGTGTTCGGTTACTAAGATACGATTCTATTAAACTAAGAGTATTTCCTCTTATTCCGTAGTAATTTAATTTGTGTAGTAAGAGTCCGTGATCAACATAATCAAAAGCTTTAGACATATCCATGTACATTGCTGCAACTGGCTGCCTATTGTCTAAGCTTATCATTACCTTTTGTAAGAAGTCGTATATTGCCATATTAATATTTTTTCGTCTACGAAATCCCTTTTGTTCGTCTACAAGAATGCTATAATTATCGAAGAAGTCATATAAACTATTGTAGATGTACTTTTCAAAAACTTTCGATATAATTGGAATTAGCGCAACAGGTCTATAGCAATTCACNGTGTGATTTATGCATACAAAACATACATACACTCGAAAAAACACAACAGTCGGGTAATAATGACACCTTATGGTACTACAGTAAGGTGACTCCTTTACTCATCTAGCTTTTTCATTGTTCAAATTTGTATGATGACTATCCTAACTTAATTAGGTAATACGTTATTAATTTATAGCATGTTTTCATTTAGTTAGATCTTCTTTTAATTATCTTTTACCTGACAAAAACCTATCGTCAAATATGAGAAATAATAAAAAGCATCATTACTTTACCCGATGTGGATAGATGTCATCATTTTTTTATGTACAAATCACATAAACGTTACACTCTAAAATAGTTTTATTACATATTTTTGATGATTTTTTAGTTCTTTCGTTTGTTCTAAACGCACATACTTAAATACAATAAGAAACGTCTATAAAATTTACCTACTCAGTTGTTTTAATATCCTCTCTTTGTAGATTTTTAAAATATTTGTTTAGATAATCTAAGGGCGTAAAGGACAAATTATTTAGACTTTGGTATGAAAATTTGGGTTGTATAGGACAATATATTATACTACATGTACATTATACGCCCAAAAATTTGTGTTTACTTGTTCTTTACTACCATGCTAACTGTACTAAAAAATCAAATGGTATTTACATACCAATTTTCACTATGAATTCTGTTTAGCTTATCAAATATGATGGGTCGTAAAGGCACTTTTTTTGAGAATTTCGACAAACTAAATATACAGATCGATAGAGAATTAAATTCTGAGTACAACTGTATAAAAAACTCATTTTCGGTATTTTGTCCTTTACGACCTTTGAGCCCAGAGGTATCGATATTATGTATAGCAATTGGCAATCCAATAACGTCACTATAATTTAATTATTTTCAACTCAATACCATTTCATCAGTATGAAAACAACTAAAAATTCAATTTTACAGTTGATTGAAAACTAATTGAGTTTCAGGACTAGAATGAACTTTTAAGAGCTTGAATTAACTGAAGTGTTCTTTGAACAAAATGTAGCCGCGGAATTTGTTGGTAAATTCTGTCAACTGCCCAATTTTCGAAAGAACTTTGGCTGGAAGTCCGCCATGACCCCGAATAGGGTAGACAACATCCACTATAACTTTATAGGGGTTCGCAGTGGCGTGGGAAATTCAATACGAGAATCCCTGTGGGTGGATTATCTGCATGTAATTATGAATATGGATCAGCTTTATGCAAAAAGGCTTTATAGCTTTTTGTAGCCGGCGAAAAAGTATTATATCTGTTGTAAACACTCTTTGTTTAAAAATCTATTTTGTTTTGGCACGGCTTGGAAACCTATCCAAGATGAAAGTTCTTTGTGGACGTTTTCTGCCTCACATTTAGGTCAAGCACTTTGTATCAAGTGTTCGTGCCTTTTTGCTTGCAGTTCAAAATAAACTAACTACTGCATCCACCGCCACTGTGACTGAAGCACGCGCCTGGAATGCCTACGTGCCTGTTTACCCGCGAACGTGATAATGTATACCTAGCCTTAGAGCTGTCGCACGTGTGTTCTGGCTCTAACCAGCGCCACTGCGTGACCCAGCCTCATACAGTGACGTCATTGGCGAGAAAGTGCAAAGTAATATTATCTGATCGCGATTATGTAGATCAGAATTTATTGAGGAAACAATAATTAAAAGTGTCGAAATTATTATGCAGTATAAAAATACTTGAATATCTGTATCAAAGTATGTAAAATGCTCTTGCTGACGGCAAAGATACTAAAGTAACTAAAAACCGGCTATAAATTGCGGTTTTGGCTTGAAGAAAATAATTTTCTGTACTGTCTAGGAAACATGGAAGAGAGCTTCCTAGCGAAGACCGTCAAAATTGTGCAATTTCAATCTTGCGATCGTCAGATTTGTGTGGTGGCTTACTTTAGCCGTATGATTCCTTCATTTGCCTTTAAATCAGAAAGAGACGTCTTCCTACAGTGGAGACTAAATTTTAATGATCTGATAATGTATCTGTCTGGGTAGTGTATCCTACATTTGCTTTTAATAAATTAGAGAGTTGTGCTCCTGCAGTAGAAGAGACTAAATGACCTCATGATGATAACAGCTGGGCTTAGCTTGGCACACAAATGGAATTTTAGGGGACGTGCCTCTAGTAAATTAGAGAGGGACGTGTCGTATTCCTGCAGTGGAAACTAAATGACCTGACGCTGATGATCTATCTGGTGTTCTGGACTTACCATGGCACACAAATGGAATGATAGTAAATAAGACAAGAATTGAGAGTCTTGCTCCTGTAGAGGGGACTAAACCCCTGATAATGATAAAGATGATCCAGCTAGACTTACCTTGGTGGCACACAACTAGAAAAATAAAGGACGCGCCCCAGTAAATAAGAGAGGTATTGAGAGGGTCGTGCTCCTGTAGGGGGTCATACATAAAGTACGTCACACGTAAAGAGGGGGGGAGGGGGTTGACAAAGTGTGACATGGTGTGACAAGGGGTGGGAGGGGTTCCTAAGTTTCGTGACATCACATTTCAATTGTTTCAAATATTTGATATAATGTTGATTTCATAAAAAAAATACTTAATTTAAATGGAAATAAATGCTGGATGCGGGCAGCGCAGGACCGTTCATTGTGGAAAACCTTGGGGGAGGCCTTTGTCCAGCAGTGGACGTCATTTGGCTGAAACGAGAAATGGAAATAAAACTAATTTCGGAACTGCTGTTAATTTAATAATTTTTCGATGTGAAATTGCAAAACATGTTACGTCACACTAGGGAGGGGGGGTCTCAGAAATGTGACCACCTGTGACAAGGACGGAGGGGGGGTCAAAAAATCATGAAATTCGTGTGACGTACTTTATGGATGGCCCCTAGTGGAAGGAAGGAAGATAGACCATCTGGTGTCCTGGACTTACCTTGGCACACAAATGGAATGATAAAGGCCGTGGTTGCGCAGCACGTGGTAGAACTCCGGTATCGTGCGGCACGCGCCCATGATGCTGAAAGCAGCCAGGGCACTGTTCCACACCATCAGCGTCCGCCGGAGCTCGAACCTGGGACAAGAGAACATAGTTTTAGCAGTTAAATATGGCGTTAAGAGTCGCCTATCGATCTAAATATTTTTAAAATAACTTTAAAAAATCAACCTGCCTAAGGTGGGAATCGAACCCTTCGCTTGCCGGGCGACTGCTCTTCCATCTGAGCTACTTAAACACTGGACGAACCCGACGAAATCTTCAAGTGTAATCGCTGTACGGCCAGCGTTTGTTTCATCAATGTTTTAGCACCACTCTATACAGGACTTATCCCAACGCAGGGTTGGACAAAATGCTATTAGCACCACTCTAGATTACAGAACTACACCCAGCTCTTGTTCCCTAAATTACAACTCTTGTTAAGATAGACAATACTATTAGCACAACAGCATAAGGGATTAATCCCCGTTCATGTGCCCACCGCTGCAACTACTGGCCGGATGGAAGCAATCATTTTAGAACTACTCTATACAGGATCATTTCCATAGAGTTTCGCTACTGTACAATTTTTCAATGCAAAAGTTTAATCTTATACAGCTGGGAAAATGCTTATTAGATAAGTAATTAACTTAAATGATGCCATCTGGTATTGATTGATGACACGAGTTCCATCAACCAAAACGCTGTTAATTTCACGAGTATGTAGCCGCGATCAGCAACCGGTCGAAATGTAATATTAATTTCCATCAATATCTTTGATCTCTGAGGTTATGCCACCATGATTGAGTACTGTTTGACAGTTCATAGCGTCATGAGTTGTTAAAACCAATTAACATAAGAATACTTGAGGGGATATGCTATTTCGTATCTACACAATCTGCTAATATTCTATTAAAACAATGGGCATAGGTAGGTAAAGGACAACGGCACATCAAGATATAGTAGCATCTTACACGGTTGTATTAGGAGCTAGTTTGCAACAAAATTATTAATTGTCGACTTTACTTGATTTATTTTCCAGAATGTATTACGGATGCTCCCAAATGTTTTTGCTACGTGTTAATTTACAGACATAATGTTTGTTCCGAGTTTTTATACATCTATCCAAAAAACTACACATGGACGTATGTTGTTTTCCGTCATCAATAGTGATATCATAAGTAACTAACTTACCTACTTACTGATCATTTAAACAAGTTTTATTGACTCGTCAATACTGCGCACTTAAATAAGTTTAGTGGCTAGCCCGATTCTAAAATGTTTTCTCTAAACTGTCTAAACTAGCAAAGTTTTCTTCTTCGTCTATGGCGACCGCGTTTTGACAATAATTTTCGAATACGAGTACTTTTGTATGTAACCATAACACACGCAAATGAATGAGGGATCATTCCGCAGAGGCACAAGTATAACTTCCAGATTTTAGCGCAGTTTCACGGTTGGTAACTAAGGACAATGCTTTTATAAATTGTTCACGGTACATAACTTTGATTCAAAGGTTTTTAGTTTTTCTTGCCGTATTCTTTTAAAAGTCTATGCACTCGTTTATTGCGTGTTCTTTTAAAAGAACAAATTCACTCGATCATTTGCAGGAATCTGCTGACGTCATAAAATTTTCTTGAACATGTCCAAGATTGGCTCGAAACAATGGCGCTACTTCACGGAATGCACACGAAACTGATCGGGGGTGTACCTATACATACTTGTTTACATAAGCGATTTAAAATTAGTTTTAGTTGGAATCTGAACCATATTTGAATTGAAAACATAATTATATGTTTATAAACACCTAAAATAGAGAGAAATATTTGTGTAAAATTGTGCTAGCAAAAAGAAATCAAATAACTCAACGAACCTACAACAAAACTCCCCGAAACATCTTGCACAGTTTGCTTTTATGAATACCATAACGTTTATCTGGGCTCAGCCACTGATATTGGGTAAGTTCTTTATTGCTTTATGTTCATTCTGTTACTATGTTACACACATACACAACACAAAAGATAGAGATAGTTTCAAGGGCCAAGAGATGGCGCTGACTCTACATCGCGGTGGAAAATCGACACAAAAAGGTAAGTTATGGTAATTATTTTGTAATGAATAAGAAATTGACAAAAGGCTACACAAGTCCGAAGGTGAATGCATTTTATGCAACTCTACATGCTAATTAAAGTTGTCAACATAAACTGAACATAATAAATAATGCATTGACCTTATTCACAGAGCAAAATAAGAACGACATTTCAAGTCTCCGTGTAATACTTGATGTGCCGTTGTATGTCTTGTGTATAAGTACGTTTCTCATACATTATGACGTAATATTATAAGAAATGGTTGAATAAAAAGTATGTTTAACCCAAATAAGCGCTTTACTGTTCCACTCCGAATGTGTTATGCAACGAGTAGGCTGTACATTGCAGGTTATTTTCATTATCACGATTTAAAGTAATCAACATACTATTTAATTAATCGTCACAGAAGGTAAACCTCATGTGTTATGCTTGTGTCATAATTATTTTTATGGTATAATACAGTGTGTGGTTTTAAAATGTAATCGGTCAAATCGGTGCATCTTTACATATCCTAAGTTTCATTTATATCTTTGAACATATTCAATGCCCATTTAGAGAATTTGTAAACTAATAACTAAGCAGAAAAATATGCGCTGTCGGCAGCACATCGGACATGTGGTTATACTCGTTTAAGTAATTTGCGATTATTTTTTATTCCATGCATTATAACCACATAAGATGCTTCCGTCTTGACGGTCAATAGCAAGAGCAACCGCGTCGATCTTGATTTGTCATTGGGCGTAATAATTCAATGTTTGTTATTGTAAAACCTGTCCTCAATTAATTATACTATTATTTTGCCTCTTACGATTTACTGGTTTCTACTTGTTGTCACACGTGACACGTGGAAACTTGGAAATTATGGATAATTAACCCATAGATTACCATACAGATCGCTTGCGTATGCCGACTAGTTCCCAGAAACTGGTTTCATTACATCTTGTTTGTAGTACGATTGATGTGATAATTTCCGATCATAATTATGCTAAATGTTTCCCTATAACTGCTTAAGGAACTTGTAACCTTAACCTACGACTATTGGCAGCATAATACCAGTAACAAACCAGCTCCTGTCACAGTAAATCATTTGATTGGTAGTTTATAACGAGTTAGGTACCAGTTTAATCCAACTTAGGCACGAGGCAGTTCCCAATAAAAATTGGGCCCCTACTTGTCTGTTCGACTATGACCGATTGACATTAATAAAAGACACCATTAATTAAGTTAAACCAGTGAGATTTAAGCCAGTGATTGGTACAAATATTGGAATTCATCCCACTTGAATATTATGTATTCTTATCAAGTTTGAATCAAGTTTCAGCTTCGTTTCAAGACCTAGTTTCGTACTTTGAAGAGCGTTCAAATATGGAGTTTCCACTGAGTTTTAAGCGTCGAGAGAATACCAGTCTTGACTTGCAGCACGTGAAAAAGAATAGCTCAAATATTAGCCGAAAGAAGTCGACGAACTTTTACAAGTCTTGGAAACGGCTAAAATATACACATTATAACATAATTGAAGTAATTCATCACGCTATGGATCATTAGTCCCATAAACGGGTGTCGGCACGCGACTTGTAACCTCGACATTGGTCTACCGAACTTTGGCGAGGTAAAAACAAAGTTTTAATAAATAAAAATAACATTTACGTAGGCGACTGTTTATCATTTCCAGTTTCCAAAGTGGATAAGGATATTGTAATTTTTTATCGCAATTGATTCCAGTTTGTACATCCATTGCTGCAGCAATACATATCACTGTGACCCCTGTTGCCTTTATGAGCCAGTGATGGATGCACACAGATTGTCAATTGAAAGCGATCGTGATAGATGTTGCGTTAAACAATTATGGTCCAGTTTCCTGGCGCATTCATAAAGTCTCTGTAACATGTAAAAATAAATGATGAATCACAGATTAGTAAGATAGCGCTAGCATTATTTTGACATTAAAAGTACATATGACTTTGAAATGAAGTCACCGATATGTACAGACGACAGCACATCGGGAATACTTCAAATTCAAAATTGAAATTCCTTTTCGGGGGTCACTCTGTGCGTCCCAAATAAAGTTTGCTCTATTAGCACTTCGGGACAACATATCGGCGGGTGCAATACTGACAAGAAAGAAGAAACTCACACCTTTCACTGTGATATCTTATTCAGTTCTAATAAGTTCGATTTTACAATAAAAATGTATAAAGTGCTGTCGACTGCTGTACACTAGACGTAGAATGACGCATCATTGTTTTAATTTACATGTGATATGACGATTGACCGATCCGATTACACCGATGATTAATTGACTAATTAGTATGGTCTAGTTCGGTTATCGGTCAGCGTAAAAATGTTAATTGCTTTTAATAGAATTTCTTATCGGCGTTAATTGACGAACATGTCTAGCGATTACACGGAAGATTAATTATTACGTATTCGTAGGTCATTACTAGTGTGGCACGTTTGTAACAAATAACGAGTTGTAATTGTAAACAAGGTACAAACGACTGTTATGTTTACTAGTAAAACTTATTGGTAATCTAAGTTTTTGACTGACTGGTAAATTATTATTGAGATACAACATACATATATTCGCAACATAAATCTTAGCCTACTTTTAGAGGATTTTTTTCCCTGATCTTATAAAAACCACCTTGTAGGTACACCAATTAATTTGATAATTATACAGATCAAAACATGTATTGAACGTTTCAATCGAACGTATAAATCTTTAATCGCTAATAATTATCATGAGCAATCTTTAATTACTATACGTATCAATGTAAACAGCGGATTAAAGAAGGGATTATTACTATTAGTTTCATTAATTGTTTGCATATTGATTGATTGATAGTTATCAGCTGAATGTTTTTTGAACAAAGCGTTTCTCAGGTAGTACAGTCGAACATGACGTTTCATTTACAAGTAACTCTGTAAGGTACAGCTTCAGCTACATCTCAAGATCTATATTACAACGACTAACCAATAAAGTAGTGTGAGATAATAGTCCCCGGTAGG